GCATTCCAATAATCCTTTTTAAATGGTAGATATTATTAATGTCAATATTGATAAGAGAATATCACAGTAATTATTATTATTATTATTATTATTATTATTATTATTATTATTATTATTGTTTAAATGAATTAAAATTACATAAACATCTAACACATTTGTATTAAGAAACAACTTAATCAAACAAAATCAATTAAACTAATTTTGTTAAAAAAATAAACAAATACTATCATCTAAGATTAAGGAAATGCCTCATAATCTTATTATTATTATTATTATTTTAAAACAAATAGATATTATTAATTTAATATTGATAAAAATAATAATAATAATAATAATAATAATATTATTATTATTATTATTATCATAGTATATATTTTAGAAAGATTTGATTTGATATTCTCTATTGGAGTAAAATTTAAAGATATAAAGTTGTCTCAACTTGTATCTTAAACTCATAGATTAAAAATATGTCACATTTAATTAACTATTTTCCCACTAAAATCTTTAAATAATGACTTCAAATATTTTTATTAAAAATTATAATATTCTAATGATTAATCATATATGTTAAATTTAGTTAAAATCTTTAAGATAACAAGTTGTTACAACTTGCATCTATTAGCCCTATGATTAAGAGAATGTACATTCAAATAATCCTTTCTTTAAATGATATATATTTTATCAATATTCATAAAAGATATTATTCTCAATATTTTGTGAAATAATTATTAATTTTTATCATTATCATTATTATCATTATTATGTGAGAATCTAACATATTTAATAACTTAAATAATAAAATAAAATCAATTACATTAATTTTTTGTTGTATATAATTGTTAGCCTTAATTAGAATATTAATTTAACAGGTTGTAAGTTATACACCTAAAACCTTCTTTTCTTTTAAAAAAATGAATAAATAAATAAATGGGCTAGGCCTATACGTGAATTGAAAGAAAAAGGAAGAAGAAAATTTGGCCACCCAAGGAACACCATTTCAAATGGGTTTAGCCTACACATGAAATAATAATTAAAAAACAAAAGTAAAGAGAAGAAAAAAGAAAATATTAGAATCCTACCACATGTACCCAAACCGTGAAATAGAAAAAGGAATTAGGAAAACCATGAGAAACCCTTACCTTAGGGTTATGATAAGAAGATGACGCACTAATGTTGGTCAGAAGAAGATTGACGCACAATACCACTGTGGTTGGTCAAGCGTGTGAAGCAAAAAGGGAAAATGGTAGTAAAAGAGAGAAACTCAAAGGAGAGAAGAGGGTCACCATTGGAAATTGCTTTTGACGGTGACACACGATGATTCTTATGGTGATTTGTTTGGGAAAAAAGAATAAGCAAACCCCACTATTGAAAATCGTTTTCTGTGGTGGTGGCTCAAGGTGGTTTTTGCGTTTTGGCCACAAACTCACGAAGCATGGTAGAGAGATGGTAGAGTGAGTGAGAGGGAGAAGAGAAAAAGAGAGAAAAAAAGGGAAGAACGCACTACGGCTGCTAGAAATTGGCACGTACAACAAATTGTAGAAGTTAGTATTCTTTTCTTTTAATTTGTCTTTATTTGCAATAAACCTAAATAATAAAAAAATCGATGACGCGCACACACAATTATTACTATATGCACGAAAGAAAATGTTAAATCATAGTGAGTGAAGATGATACCACAATTGTGAGGTTCTGGCTTGTGTTCCTTGTCTGAGCTTTTTCCTTTTGATTATATTCCAGTTAGAATTGTTTCTCTATTCTTTTTTTTGTTAATTTTTTTCATCCCCTTGTTCATCTTGTGTGCTGGTATTTATAGACATATGATTCTTTCAATTTGATTAATCTGATATATTTCTCTACCAAAATCCTTAAATTTAGGAATATGGCTTGTAAATTTGGAAATCATTCTAATTCTTGCTTGAGCAATGCTTTTCCTTCTTTACGGGTTGATGAAGTTAAAGAAATAGGAAGACCTATTGGTAATGATGAAATATACCAGGCTATTAAAAAGATGGGTAGTTACAAAGCTCTTGGGCCGGACAGGCTTCAGGCTATCTTTTACCAAAATCAATGGAACCTTATTGGATGTAATGTTTGCAACATGATTCATGAGATTGAGGATCAACCAGACAAAGTCACTGAGATAAATAACACACTACTGGTTCTGATTCCAAAAACAAAAGTGGTAACACATTTGAAACAATTGAGGCCAATTAGCCTATGTAATGTTTCATATAAAATAATAACTAAGATTATTGCTAATCGGCTTAGAAAGTGATGGGGTGGGTAAAATAAATGGACTTATTTTTTAAGTCTGTATCCGGTTCACCAAAATCCACGAATAATGGACCGGTTTGAGGGTCTAAATAATGATTATAAATAAATAAATTTTTAAAAAATAAAAATACATAAAATTAGAAGAAAAAATATTTTGTTTATTTATAAGCTAAATTTCATCACACTAAAATTTATCAACAGTTAAAATAGTTTAAAATACTAAATATTAAAATATTAAAATAAAAATAATCACAAATACTTATATAATAGTACCAAATTTTCAATAATAAAATTATCAAAATGTCATAAAAATAATTCAAATGACAAATACATACTAACTAAACATAGTTTTAATGTCATAATAATTTAAAAGATTAAATACACAACTTAATATTAAAGTCTTAATATCTAAAAATATTAATTAGTGAAGTCCGCGGACTAGCCCGCGAGTTCGCGGATTAAATCTACCAAATTTGCGGACTTTATGGACCGGACTCAAAAATTAAACATAATCATATAGATTTGAAAAAAATAGGTCCCTTGTCTACGAAGTTCGCAAGCTTACAAATCGGTCCACGGACTCGGGTCCATCTACCCACCCCTTTCATCCTAATCAAAGTTGCTTTGTTCCTCACAGGAACAGTAGAGACAATATCTTGTATTTGAAGAAGGAATGCATTCTATGAGATACAAGTCTAGCAACAAGGGTTGGATGGAAAGTAATAAGATAGACCGTGAGAAGGCCTACGACCGTTTGAACTTGAGGTTTGTGAGAGATACTCTCACTACTAGATTTTAATTCTTTAGCAACATTTTGTTGTTTACATTTATTAAAATGTTACTATATATTAAATAAATAGGTTATATTTTGCAACACTTTTTAAAAAAATATCATTATAGATAGAGTAACATTTTTTATTTCAATATTATTCTTTCTAATTATTTTTAAAATCAAAGTCCCATATTGAGTAAAAAAAATTCATATAGGTTATTTTGCAACATTTTTTTAAAAAATGTTACTATAATTGTTTCTAAAATCAAAGTTCCACATTGGGTAAAAAAAATATATATTTCTCTTATCTCTAATTGTTATCCATAGTTAAAGCCCTACATTGAATAGATTAATGACTTATAACAGTACTAGAAAAATTAAAATTAGAGAGGGAACAAATCCGTCACTAATCTTCATAAAATCCGTCACAAATAAATTAGTGACGAAATTTGTGACGGAAATGATTCCGTCACAAAATTTGGCATCACAAAATATTTAGTGACGGATTATTTTCTCCGTCACAATTAGTGACGGAATTAAGGCATCACAAACAATATAATTTCCGTCACTAATTTCTAACAATAAATGTTTAGAAATTAATAAAAATCTGTCGCAATTTGTGAGGGATTAAATCCCTCGCAATTTGTGAGGGATT